CAATCCATATCGGCCCTGTTCCCTGACCATACGTTGCTTGAGTGGCAGCAGAGGAGGCGTTAGAGTACCCCAGCTCACGACATACCACATTCGCATCGTTCATATCCCAGGCATCATCACAGACTGTACCCCACTGTCCCCAGTGGTAGACCTCGACACGACCTCTGTTAGAGGCACTACCATTGACTAGCCTRACTCGTTTATTGCACTCAACGGACGCGTCTTCACTGTGGCTGCAATCGTGAGAACCCCAAGGTCTGCTCTGACATTTCTGGATATTCGATTCTGAGCCGGTACAAGCAAGATCGTCGACCCATATCGGACCAGAACCTTGTCCGTGGGTTGCACTTGAAGAAGCAGTCTTTGCTCCTGGGAAACCAAGCTGTTTGCAAACCACGTTAGCATCATTGATGTCCCATCCGTCATCGCATACCGTCCCCCATCGATTATCGTAGAATACTTCTACTCTTCCTATCCTACTTGATGTAACATTAAGACGAAGAGACCCTTGGACAAGTGCTAGTAACGAAAAGTCAATAGATTACTACCAGTTAATGGTACAACACGTCCAGATGTTTTTCTGGCCCTCCAAAACTGATACGTATTTTCTCAATCATATAAGTTTGGATCACTTCATTTCGTTTCGYGGTTTGAAAGAATACACTGCATCAAACTATTGTTCTGGACTGACTAGCCTCGTGTTCAYGTGGAAACACATGTATGAGAGGCTACTCAGTCCAGAACAATAGCTATTCAAATTCGTCTTCATATTTCGATTCGGTGTTTTCTTGCATTCTATYTTTTCATTGTTGGTTGAATAAGCAAAATGATTGGTTGGTTGTTTGGTTAGTTGATCTATATGCTTAAAAGGGTTTTGCTCCCTGCCTAAAATTAACTTAATTTTAAATTCCAATTTGATCATGAAATGAGGGCCACAGGTTTGTTGCTATACATTAGAGTTACCTCCGTGAAACATTACAATAACAGTTTGCTTGTTTCGTTATGATCATGATAATAATAATGG